CAAAGGCCCCTTGGAGGATATCCCCATTTCTTATCCAGTCTGGGCGGTCTGACTGAATATCAGGGTATTTCCCGTCACCTGCATGGTGTCATCGTTATGGTGATCACCACCCTTCCTGAGTACTTCACACGCCACAGGCACTGTGCTGAGTGTTCTCAAGGGATCACCCTGATACCAAGGATGTCACACATGAAGAATCGGGACCAGAGAGGGAGAGGCACTTACTAAAGATTGCACAGTTAATGTCTGTGTGTGTGTGTGTGTGTGTGAGAGAGAGAGAGAGAGAGAGACAGAAAGAGAGAGAGAGGGAGAGAGAGCGAGAGCGTGCGCTGGGATTTGAGTCTGTGTGTGTCTCTCCAGGGCCTACCCCATCCTTCTTTCTGCCCCTGTCACTCACTGGTGTGTCCTAGACACAGGTCACAGGAGCAGTGGCAGATGGGACAAGTGGAATCTAGCCTCTCTTGCGTTACCGTTCTTTATCTGAGTCTACATTCTCCAATCCATCACTCCCTTGATGGGGGGTTTGCTGTTCCCAGAACTCACAGTTGCTCTTCAGGCAAATCAATGCTCAGTCGGCAGCCCTAGCCCCAGGATCCTGGTGAACTCTGCTGAGACCTTCCGTCTCCACTCTTCCCAGCAAAAACACACATGTCCTGGTGTGGCTAGCTCTCTTCTACCTGAGCCACGTCTCCAGTCCTTTGGATTTTAGTTTGCTTTATAGATAGGGTCTTGCTTTTTCCCCTACAATAGCTTTAGACCACCATCTTCTTAATTCCACCATCCAACTCACCGGGATTACAGGCATGCCTGGCCACAGCTGGTTTCACAATGCATCGTTTAACAGACTATCTGTTAAATTACAGACTTTCCATACCAACAACAAAGAAAGCATCCCATTTATCTGTGCTAGACTTACTTCAGTCATCTAATGGGGAGCTATTAAAACCACCATTCCTCCAATTGGTCTGAATGAATTTGCAATTGGATTTGCTTTATCTGCCTGGCCCTACTCACTAAAATTGTTCTGATTGGGGAAGTCATTATGAATTCTGACTCGGCATTTTACAGCCAGAACTGGAAATGCATGATACAGGCATCATATGCCCAGCCTTTCTGAAACGGCATCTTTGGGTTTGAGCACTTTCTCTGTCTCACTACAGAGATACAGTTGGTGCCTCTGGGACTCTTGAACATAAGCAATGGATGCCATTGTCACCTTTTTTCCCCCTTTCTTTAGTGTCAGTTGTGGGGCTTTAACTCAGGGCCTGGGCACTGTCCCTAAGCCTCTTTATGCTAAAGGCTAGTGCTCTGCCACTTGAGCCACAGTACCACTTCCAGCTTTTGAGTCGTTAATTGGAGATAAGAGTCTCACAGGGACTTTTCTGCCTGAGCTGGCTTCGAACCAGGATCCTCTGAGTGGCTAGGATTACAGACGTGAGCCATCAGCATCCAGCTCTCTGTTTTTCCTTTGAGTGTCAGCCTTTCTGTGCTCAGCCAACAGCACTCATGGGAGACTTTGTGCTCTCTGGATTTCCCCCTGCCTACTTTTCCTAGTGGTCCCTCTCATTTCCTTAACATAACCGGGCCTCTTCACTCTTGAATAGAGACCACAGAATTGCAAAGCAGCATCAAACCATTGGGCCCTTTAGGAAATGCTGTAAGTGCTACAGAGGAAAATGTCTCCACAATGATGCTTCTTCTTGTTGTTGTTTGCTTTTTGTTTATGCCCCTGCAGTATCTCCTGCTCCCTGCGGGCTCTCTTACTCTCTTCAAACTCTCCCACACTTTCAGACTTTCTCCTTGCTATTTCTCGCCAACTTATGTCTAGCTTTGCTCACTTTCACATTTATTGTTTTACCCTCCAGGGGTAAATCTTTGCTCTTTCCAAAGTGTATCAGTGAAGCATGTCTTTGATCTTCTTGGTTCTTTTCCTTACCATTACACCACGGTACACCTGGGAACACAAAAGGCTGCCAGGCAAGCACAGCCCAGAGATAATTTCTTTAACCAGCAGAAAGAAATGGAAAAAAAGAACTCAGATCGCTTCTAGGTATTTTCCTATTTGCATTTCCAGTGGAGGGATCATTATTTGTCAGCCTTTGATGTTTAGTGCACTCTAAGCAGTCAGTCTTGCAAGATGGGTTTCCTGCTGGGCACCTGCCACACACCTGTAATCACGGCTACTCAGGAAGCTGAGATCAAGGGGATCTCAGTTCAAGGCTAGCCCAGGCAGAAAGTTTGTGAGAGTCCATCTCAACAGGAAAAGTGGGGCATGGTGATGGGTCCCTGTCATTACAACTGGCCAGTCCAAGCCAAAAGCAAGGCCCTATTTTTAAAAATCACCAGGTCTGGAGGCAATAGTTAAATCGAAGAGTATTTGCTTAGTAAGTATGAAGTCCTGAGTTCAAACCCCAGTACTGCCAAGAAAAAAAAAAGATGCCTTTCTAGAGTTCCTCATAATCGACAGGGAGATGTGAGGGTACCACTTCTGCTACTGTCCCGAGGTTTAGCTTAAATAATCAATCTACCAACTTTTGGAGGCCAGTTCTTCAGCTGTACTAACCAAGTCCACAGGAACCGCATGTGGCTGCCATCTTGGGTAGCACAGGGCTAGGTCATTTCCAGCATCACAGGTTGTCTTACTGGGGCATACTCTTCTAGCCTTCATCCTCCCCTCAGCCCCTCTCTTCTGTCGAGACAACTGTTTACTCAGCGTCCCCAGTGGGGAACCTGTCTCTTCTGTGGGTTTTGTGGAGACACCAAGTTATGGTCATCCGCGATGTCTTTAATCCATTTTATATAGAGACTGGTTGGGGCTGGAGAGATTGGAGAATGGGAACACTGAATTCCTAAGTAATGCTTTCCTTGTGAGAAGCACGGGATCCCAGGGCAATGTGTTAATCACTTTGTGCTCTCTGTGCTAGCTGTGACCCTTGTATGACTTTGTCTTGTGGGACTGTCGTCCTGTGTAGTGATTTATTTGCTGATCTCTGACCCCCTGGGAGGTGCTGAATGTCACTGCCACGGTTGTAACATTATTCTAGCCCAGTCCCAAGGCACTGATGTCTGTTGAATTTAAATCGGATGAGATTGAGTGTTCCACACAGCCCATGACTGCCCAGCTCTTGTCTGAAGCTGAAACCTCGGTCATCATCAAACATGGACTATAGAGATGTTAACCTTTGGAAGAACCATGGCGGGAGTAAATACCTCCTACTGCCTCCCCAGCAGTGGCTGGGCATAGATAAATAGCTCTAGGTCCCCGAATCAAAAGGGCTAGTCTTGACATCAAGGGGGAGCTTGTTTGGGTTCCATTTGTACCATGCTTTTGTTTCTGCTGAAACCTGGCTGTGGATATTTATAGTCTCAATATGGCTCCTTGACCATTTCATTCCATGTTGGAAATACTGCTCAGTTGTGTTTTGAATACTAATCGTATGCTTGGACATACGATCTGCATGCATTTCCTCTCACATACAGTAGCCCCAAAGAACTTGGACAACTATATCCAGAGCTATCTGTAACTCTTCATTCCTGCATACATTATGAAAAAGGGATGCGGGTGGTGGTGGTGAGGTAGCAGCATCACTTACTCAATAAGGAAGGGGTAGGCCATGAAAAGCATCACATGAATTACAGAATATCATATGTCCCAGATGGCTGCAGGGACTAATTGGTATATCTATAAATAGTGGTTAGAGAAAGGTAGGTGGGGGTCTTCTGGAGCCAGACCGCAGGGGGACCATTGCAGGGGGAAGAAGGAAATCGTACTTATTCTTTGCATCCTCTGACTGAACACAGGGGGTCCTTTCTAGACCACAGTCCATTCAGGACAGACAATTCTGGCTGACAACTTAGATAAGAAGCGATTTGAGACTCGCATAAAAGGTGTCCTTGTCTTAGACATTATTTTCCTTCCAGAATAGATTATTATTCTTCTCACAATCTTGAGACCAAATGTGTGCTTTTGAACCAACCAAAAAAAATGAAAAAAAATGAAAAGGAAATGTGAACACAATTTTCGTTTTTTAGATCAATCAATGCTTATTTTCTTAGGCATTTTCAAGCTATCAATTGGGATTAAGTAGCCAGAAATAAAAACTTCAGTTGTTGGGAAATGAGGAGATGAATCAAACATCTGTTTCTTTGGCCTCATGTGGATTGGAGTTAAGTGCTTTGATGAACGTGTTATCTGCACTGACAAGAGCAGAATAAGGGAAGTCACACTTTCCTTGGCTGTTTTTATTGTTTGGTCAAAGCGTCATGTTAGTCTGCCTAGTTATTCTCGGAGCTGGCAAAGGCTGGCGTGGATACTGGGGTCCTTTATGTCCAGCAGACAGAAGGCTGGTGAGAGCATCCACTTGGACTCAGAAAGTGTTTTCCTGGTGTCACCTCTCCTCCAGCCTCTGTCACCTCATTCCTGCAGACACATAGACAGCCCTGTCCCCTGGCCATACATCCAGCTTGCAGGCATTTGGATTGTGCATCCACCTCCCCATCTTTTCCTTATTTTCTGTTTCTTTGGTCTCCATGCCTTTCTTGATTCTTTGATTTCTTTAATTTCTCCATCACCCTTTCCCTTCTCTCTATCATGTCCTTGATGAAAGATCTTGTTCTCATTGCTGACTTCATGCTTAGTTCTAAGACCTTTAGATCTTTCTCCTGAAGAACTGCTAAACAAAGAGGCCCCATAAATAGTCACTGACAGTGGCAACCTCTCTGAGGTCGTGGGAAGTAGTGATCATACAACCTCTCGTGGAGATTGTTATTTTTGACCTTGGCCCTTATTCCTCACAGCTGACGGAAGCCCTGTTCAGCCCAAGATTACACCTCAACCCTTAAACAGTGATGACGAAAACTGCTTGGGCTAGGCAGACTCTGGGGATATATGGGAGAAAACACAGGTGGGAGAAAACACCATCACTATGATGATCCTGACATACATACATCCACAACATAATTGTGCTCCAGGTTCACCTCTCTGCTCCATAATTCCTGCTATGGGGAGGGGGCTAACAGCCATCGTTCACCAAGGCCAAGACCTCACACTGCTCATGGAGTACACAATACACCTGAACTCCAGGTATTTCAGAGAATCATGAGAATATATGACCTGATGTAATTTCACACACAGATCATTGTATGCTTTTGGTCTCCATGGCATCTTTCACTGTCTTCATACATACCTCTAACACAGAAATGTAACAACCTGTCTAATACTTCCACCAGCAATAGCATGATCACCACATTTCCAGAGGATACAAATCCAGGAAGAAGAGCCAGGTTTTTTTTTGGGGGGGGGGGAGAGTGGCGATGAAAGATTGAAAGACTCAAGGAAGAAATGGCCAGTTGGAATGATAAGCCTAAGCTAATAAGACCACATTTAATAAGAATTATATTTAATATGAGTAAGCATTATACTTATAATGCTCTGGATTAGGATCAGAAACATCCACTGCCCTAGAGGATCATGGGAGAACCCTTTATTTTCATACCTATCTAATCAGCATCTTTTATTTTTTAAATCCGATCTCATTCAGAAAGAAAGAAAGAAAGGAGAGAAAGAAAAGATAGAGAAAACTGAACTTAGCTTAAAAGCAGTTGATAGGTCAGCTGCTCTCCAAAGCCTGGTCCCGAGCCCAGAAGCATCAGTTTTACCTGGAAACTCATTAGAAATGCAAAAATCTCTGCCCTTACCTCACACCTACTGAGTCAGGGGTCAGGCTCAACAATTTATGTGAACAAGCCCTCCTTGGGAATTCTGATAACAAGCCTAAGTTTGCCAGCTTCTGTAATAGTAGATAAAATATTCTTTAAAGGGAAACATCATTCAGAAGTTGGGATGGCGTTGAAAATGAAGAGAAGGAGGACAGCAGATTTGGAGAGAGCGTCCAATCTGCCAACACAAAGCAAGACACATAACCAGTCTGTATGCTGTACTAGGCCTCAAGATCCACATAGCTCAACTTCATGCTGACATTTCAGGATAGATTCATCCGTCTTCATAAAGAAGTAACTATGGCTATACTACTTTTGGGCCATATACCAGAAGGGATAAAAGTCAGCCTGCCATAGAGATTCTTACTTTCCTGTACTGTAGTAGTGCTATTCACAATAGTCAAGTTATGGAATCAGCCTCACTGGTGTCCAACAACAGATGAATGGATAACGATAGTGATATATATATATATATATATATATATATACACACACACACACACACATACATATGTATAATGTAATATATCCATATCACATTGTGAATATCATTATATGCACATATAGCTGATAATAGATATATAGGGCTGAATTCAACTCTAAAGAAGATGCAATTATGTCATTGCAGGAAAACAAATGGAATTGGAGATTATGATGTTAAGTAAAATAAGCAGACTTAGCAAGACCACAACTTGGCAGAATCACTGATTGCCTTTCTGATGAAACAGGAAGCTACAGTCTGTTAGTCAGTCCTAGCTCTTCTCCACTTCCTGTCCCCAGGCCCAGCTCAGGCTGGATGGTGTCTGACAGTTAATCAGCTCTAGGATGAAGGCTTTCTTCTCCAGGGGATCTTCTGCATTTGCAGAACTGTCCAGTAATTTCTTCTGACATTTCTTCATCAGGGTCTTGGGAAATCATAAGTTTTCACACAAAGGGAAACACAGTGAGTTAAACTATGCTTGAAATGCATTAGAGTGTTTGTTTGAGAATGTAGAAATTCCTTTTATTGTTAGACAGTGAAGCTTTGTTTCTTCGATTGTGTTGTAAAATGGACTGTTTTATAGAAGCGAAATTTATGGACTGCTGAAGTTTCCCTGAGTCAGCTCTATAGCTGTCTTTAATCCTTTTTCAATGAGTCTTCCCAAAATGCTTCACATACTTGCCTTTGTAACGGGAGCTGTGCACTTGAAGACTAACCTTATTGAATATTCTCTATATCTGGTGCCACGCTTGTTTAATTGCTTTACTTATTTGCACAGCAAGCCCATTAGGTAGGCACTACCTAATCCCTGATTTTTTAGATGAGGACCTTGGAGCTTGGAGAATCTATACCACCTTCCCCAGGTCACACAGGTAACATGGTAGACTGGAGAATTTGCTCAAACAGGAGACATAAATTTTGAATATCCTTGATTAATTTATTCCTTCACTCAGCAGATGTTACTAGGGTACCTAACCTATTTGTAGTACTTGGGATCTATTGCATGCTCAGGATCTCTGGAAGCAAAGAAATGTAAGCTGCCTTCAAGGTGGGGGGAGGTTGGAGTAGCAAGTTTAAGAGCTGTAACCATCTGGACAATATGGTCAGGGCACCTTGAGAAGTTGGTTAAGTTTTGAACCCCTTTTTGAAAGGCAGGCATCCCTTTTTGTTCTCATGCATTCTTTGTGGCTAAGGCTGATGAGCTAGACTGGGGACTGCAGGCAGAATTAGATGCTTCCTTGATTCCAGAGAGACAGAGGAAGAAATTGGCAAGGTGTGATTAAAAGTTCAGCCCAGGGGATAATATAGCCAGGGGATAATGGCTCATGGGTTGGACTGGGAAGTTTGAGTTCTGCAACGTGAGTCTTTCTTAGGTTGATGAAACCAAGAAGCACATTACAGTCACACCCTTCGGGAGGCAAAATACATGCTCCATGGGATGTGTTCTACTAGTAAGTGGGTATTTAATGCAACTCCCAACGGCAGTTTGAGGAAATGGTGCAGTAGAAGCAAGTAGATGCCTTCCTGTGGTGATGACTTAGGTATATTTTCATAGCATTCTTATTTTTAAAGTCATGTGTTAAGAGAATATATCCAGTAACTTCCTTTATCCAGCGATAACTTAGATCCAGCGTTCGTTCCCATATCCATCAGACCAGGGCTTTGATGTCTCTTTTGGAGCCCCCTCCTCCTGCAGGTTATAATACAGTCTCTTGATGGCTCCCATTCATCCTTTTGGGTATTGTCTGCGCAAGGTGCTGGCATAAATGAGTGTGATGATGGAGGGGAAGTGGTTGGCTGTTTTGAGATCTTTTCAATTAGGTCTCCTTTCTCCTTCTTGTAGTTTGGCTGGAGGCCATGGTGTCTGGCTGCTTTCCGTGTGTCTGTTTGTACCTCTTCCTGGCATTTATATATATATATATATTTTCATACCCTTGATTAAGTACTAGATTGTCTAATGATTAGGCTAGTCAATATGTGTTTCCAGAGAGAGTAAACAGGCTCCAAGAGAGGACAAAAGGGCTCAGTTTCGAATTAAAGTGAAAACTGCCACTAGTTTCTCTGCCAGAAGTCCATTATTTATCTGCCTAGAAGTAATTGAATTTTGTTTTTATTGATGACATATAGCTAAGTGGCCTTACTATTAGAGACACTAAGCTAGAAAGAAATTTTAAAAAAAAAGAAGAAAGAACCAAGGAAGGGAAGAAAGGAAGGGAAGACAAGAAAAGGGAAGGAAAGAAAACAGGTAGATGCTCTGTTTGCATCTCATTTTGAATTTCTCTCTTTTCACAGTGGATTGAACTTCATTGACCTGATGGTACGACAGGGAAATATCGACAACCCTCCCAAGACTCCCCTGGTGCCAGGATTTGAATGTTCTGGAATTGTTGAAGCTCTGGGGGACAGCGTGCAAGGCTATGAGGTAAGGTTTTGATTCTGACTTCAAGAGTGATACTCATCTAGAATCTATTGAGATGATGAAAGACTACACCAAAACACATCTGAAACATGTATTACTATTTTATGGGTGACATTTGTTAATGGTAGGCTTTCTTCAGAAGTCTCATAACTCTCTTCTGTACAGTCAGGCTGGAGACGGAATCCAGGCAGGAGTCAGCTGAGCAGTTCTGTTGCTTTGATCAGTTGCAGGGCAGGATGAGAATCTTTCTCCAGAGGCCCAACAGTAAAGAAATGATTTGGGCTCATCTGCTCTGGGCTGGGTATATTTTTTTTAGTAGACTCAAATAATGAGATGAACTGTCAGAGTGGTTAAAAAACTTTGTTTCTTTTGCTGTATTTACACTAGCGGCTATCAGTTCCTCTGTTAAGGGAGTGTCTTCCTGATTTTTTTAAAATTAGCATCTATTAATTGGACAGAGGGGTTGTATTGTAATATTTGCAAACATGCATACAATATACTGGAGTCAAATTCATACCCTCTGTTGCTCTATGATTTGGGGAAGAAGAGGAGGCCAATGCTATACCCCTGTTAGCACCTGGCTGAAATCCTTGCTTTGAAGATGAGATCCTGACATTCATCCCTTGGCCTCCTAGGGTCTGGCCTCTGCCAGGGGCACAGTCTCTCCGTTCCCTCCATGTCTTCATTAGTCAGCTGTTCATTCGGCTTCCTGAAGTACAGTGTGTCTGCACTCAGCTTTAGTCATTAATATGTGAGGTTAGGAAGAAGCCAGTTCTGTTTAGGTGTTAACACATACTGCTCATTCCTCACCATGTAATTGCATATTGCATACACATTAGCTCTTCACAAGGATCTTTTGTTAATATTACACTCACTTTAGTGGTGAGAAAACTTAGAGTCCAATTAAGAGTTCCCCTGATGTACATTTGCATATAATTACATGTTTCTGCTGTGTGTGTGTGTAAAATGTTGGAGGATTGAACAAGACACTCTACCACTGAACTATACTAGCCCTTCTTTATTCTGAGACATAGTCTTGATAAATTGCTTAGGCTGGTCTTGAACTTGTGGTTCTTCTGCTTTAGTCTCCTGACTACTAGAATATAGGGGTTTAATATCCCACCTGGCTTCTTTTGGAATGTTTTGTGCTTCTTTGGTTATATTTATGTCCACTGTAATGAATCAGTTATTTGTATCTGCAGTCACACACCAGATTCTGTCGCTCAGTGGCCTTTGGCAAGTACTTTGTCTCTCTTTGCCTCAGTTTAAATGTCTGTAGAAACTCAGTGATTCATCTGTACTGTGGGAAAAGAATAGAACCCATTCAAAGAATTTTTGCTTGTTTTTGTTTAGGTAGGGTAAAACATAATTACTAAGCCACAAAGAAAATAATACAAGCTTTGTGCTAGTGAGGTTTATCTGAGATGTGATTATTGCTAATTATCAATTGCTAATTGCTAGGCAGGGTGGTTCATGCCTATCATCCTGACTACTCAGGAAGCTGAGATTGGAAAGATCATTGTTCAAAGATGCCTGGACAAAATGTTTACAAGACTCCCATCTTAACCAATGAAAAGCTGCGTATGGTCGCACATGCCACTCTCCCAGAAGAAATCATAAATAGGATTACAGTCCGCCTGGCTTAGGCAAAAATTGAGACCTTATTTGAAATACAGCGAAAGCAGAAACAGCTGGAGACACAACTTTAAGTGGTAGAGTGCCCGCCTAGCAATTACAGGCTTAAGTTCAAACTCTCATACCTCAAAAGTAAATAAGTAAATAAATAAATGAAATCAATGATAAGAAAATGTGTCTAAGCTTACATATGCAAGATATGAGTCTTTGAAGAAATCATTCTGACCCCAGGAATTTGGGTTATTGCATTCAAAAGCCTTCATAGAAGCAACTGACATATCAAACACCAGAATGATTTCATGTAACTAATACTTGGTAACTCATGCAAGCTATTAATATTTATTCACTTATTTGTATTCATTGTATCATTTGTATTCATTGTGTCATTGTTAATGATGATAGATTGTGGGGGTGAAAAACCCCAGGATTCTAAAGAGAAGAATCTTCCTCCCTCCCCCACCCATACACAGTGTTTAGCTATTTCAACTCTTGATAAAAGAAACTCAGTGTCCACATTTGAAGATGACATGAAATCCTTAGGGAAATGGCTGCCATGTAAAACGTTTCTCATAAATGCTAGCTGCTGCTCCTCTCACCGGTGGCACTCTTTCCATTTCTCCCTATGCCTAGTCCTTTTTATGCAGACTTCCACTCTTGGGGTTTTATTTGGTTTTTCTTTGAGTTAGGGTTCTCTCTATTATAGCCAAAGCTGACTTCCAACTTGAGATCTACTGCTTCAGCCTCCCGTGTGCTTGGGGAGGGAAAGAAGGCAAGTGGGAACAGAAGCCCCAGATAACACAATGTGTGCGTGCGTGCATGTGTGGGTGCGTGCATGTGTGTGTGTGTGTGTGTGTGTGTGTGTGTGCGTGCGCGCGTGCCTGCCAGTCCCAGAGCTTGATCTTGAGGCCAGTACACTATCCCTGACCATTTTTGCTCAAGGTTAACACTCTCCTGAGCCACAGCTCCACTTTTGGCTTTCTGATGGCTAATTGGAAAGAAGAATCTCATGGACTTTCCTGCCCAGGCTGGCTTCAAACCCCAATCCTCAGATCTCGAGTAGCTAGGATTACAGGCGTGAGCCACAGGCATCCAACAACATATACGGTTCTGAAGCAGACTTTTCCTTGTCCAGATCTCAGGATGATCTCAGGGAATGGAGAGTCTACTTGAACTTAGGTGAAACTTCCAGAGGATAAAGAAAGGAGAAAATTAAAGAGGGAATCAGAAAGTCCGCCAGACTGCGGTGGTGGATTGTTGGCCTTTTTTCTCCCTTGGCTCTGCATTGCCTGTATGGCTGCGACAGGACAATCTGTGACTGGGACATCTCTCCTGCAATGGGCCAGCTGGGCACGTTGACCTAAGGACACTTTGGAACCCAAAGCAGAGATGCCTGGAATCACTTAGAATGTTGTCGATGGATGCTCTCCCCACCTGCTTCATCTGCTTGAATTTCTCATTATGCAGAACTGAAAAGGGCCAGGGTTGGTCTGTTATCTTTCATTTCCTGGCTGGCTGGACAAATGGGTCCTTGCAAACCCTGCCAGCCACACACCCCAGTTATGACAATGCTGTTCCAAAATAAACACAACTGGCCAGGCTGGCAAATCCCCAGTGGGCCTGGGAATTTTCCTATCGGCTTGTCTGGAATCCCTGGGCCTGCCCTCCCCACCCTTCCCCACACAATAAATGATCTTAACATCTCTGGACCGAATGCACCATTACCACCAGTGCGTCCTGCTTTTGGCTTAGGGCTTTATTCTCTACTAAAATATCTTTTCGGAATGGTCTTGCCTCCTCCTACGCCCAGTCACTGGCAGTACTGACCAACTGAATTTTTTAAAAAGCAAATGGTTAAATGTTTAAAGAGCATAGGCTATACCTTATTTACAAAGATATCTTCAGTGCTTAAAAAACTTCAGATTGAAAAAGGGGCTGAAGGAACAGTCCTGACAAGGAGATGACTAGGACGCTGTGAAAACGTTTGGGATCAGACAGCCTTCTCCTGGGTCATCTTAGAGCAGAGACGCAACCTTTGAGACCCTCCATTCCCTTTGTCCATGAAGAGATCATGCAGATTAAGTAGTTTAGTTCCAGTGAACATTACAGGGTCTGCTTCATCATTCCTGTCTGAGAAGTGATAGCTTTCCTGTGAGGATCAAATGCAAATATAGGAAATTCTCCCAACGAGGAGTGATGAATTCTTCAGCTACATTGTCAGTCCAAGGATGATTAAGATATGGCAGCTAAAGCCTGAGGAACCCTCAAGAAGAGTACAAGAGGAAGGTGGTTTTGCAAGAATGGAGGAAGGGTCTTCCTTCCTTGATCAACCCTGCCAATATTGCCCTGACCTCTTGCTGCTCCCTACAATGATGTTCAGGATGTCACAGATAGAACAGATCTTCTTCCACCCAACTTCCTTGGAACTAAGGACGAGGTAAAGATGGGCAGGCAGGAACGATGGAGCTGTGGGTGGTCCCTCAAATGAGTTGTTAAACATTAAACTTCACTAGCCATGGATAGAGTGTTTGTTACAACTGTACAAAAAGTTTATTCGTTTCATCAATGAATAGAGGACTGTGAGACTCAGAAGAATGTGGGTAGAGATGTGCTTTATCCTTTTTGTACCATGGACAGTTCCTGCTACTTTTGGTCCCTCACAGAGCCTTCACTAAACCTGTGTTTCCCCATTCTCAGATCGGGGACCGTGTGATGGCCTTTGTCAATTATAATGCCTGGGCAGAGGTGGTGTGCACGCCAGCGGAGTTTGTCTACAAGATCCCAGATGACATGACCTTCTCCGAGGCGGCCGCCTTCCCCATGAACTTCGTCACCGCCTACATGATGCTCTTTGAGGTCGCCAACCTCCGGGAAGGGATGTCCGTGCTGGTGCACTCAGCCGGTGGTGGAGTGGTAAGTTGGCTGCTTGTGATGCAGCTTCCAGAAGGTCATGCTGGCGGAAGCAAAGTGATGTGTAGCAGATTCTTTGGAGCGATCTGTGGTTCTGGCGGTGCTCACGTGGCTTGCACAGGCTTTGTTTATGATGATGCTGGGTATAGGGTTTGTCTGGAGCCTAGAAAAGTCACCAGGATGGCATGAGAAGGCACAGGGATCTCAGCTGGCTTTGGTAGGGGAGGTGGTCCCCATCATGGGTAGAATCAAATACATTCATCATTGTGGGCTGTCTCATGTCCTGATAGTATAATCTGAAGTGCCAAAGTGGTGGGCTACTCACTTTCTCAATGAATGACACCGTGTTCCAGATAGCTCCTCTGTTTATGACGCGTATTCTTTTGTGTGCTGGTATAATTTCTTGAGTGGGAAAAAGGTGACAGAGATAAGACTGGCACACTAGGAATTATTCATTGACCAGAGAACACCCAGGAAAGTCATTGCAGGTAGCGGATTTTGTGTTGTCTTTTTCTGGGATGTCTTTGCCAAGGAGGTAAACTGAGGGAGCTCAAGGAAGGCAGATGTTTGTACGTGGTTTCACTGCACCGTCTGAGTCCCTGTCATTCAGTAGAGGCTGTGCTCCCCCCCCGCCCCCCCTGCCTTGTCCCATAGCAGGTAGTGTGTCTGCGTTGTGGTCAGCTTGGCTTGGATGAAACTCTAGTATTTTTGAGAGTCAGGGAATCACTCACCAACTCAGTAAATCCATATTAAGCAATACTGTGTTTTAGACTCTGTGCATGCAGAGATCCACAAGAAAGAGGTCCCAAAATATCATCTAACAGGGTTTGAAAGGCTCTCAAGAGTTGGTGATTCTGTAGTTACTCTTAGAACTGAGTATATTTCCTTTTCTATTTTTTTTTTGGTGCTGTTACTAAGACTTGAACTCAGGGCCTAGGCATACTGTCCTTTAGCTTCTTTGTTCAAGTAGAGCCATAGTTCTACTTCTGGCTATTTGGTAAGCCACTGGGGATATGAGTCTTACTGACTTTCCTGCCTGAGCTGGCTTTGAGCCTTAATCCTTAAATCTCAAGCTCCTGAGTAGCTGGGATTATGTAAGTGTAACCCACCAGAGCCTAGAAATATTTTAGGTGAAGGTTTTATGAACATTGATTTAAAAAATCCTGGCTATATCAAAACTCTGTGCCAATGTAAAGCACATTCCTATATTTCCTCTCCAAGGAAACAAGCCTACATCCAAAATGATGGTGGCAAAGATTTGAACGTAAAGGGATGTTGTTCAAAGAATATATTCAATCACTTTAGCAAATTTGCTGATGTCTTTTGACCGTGAATAAAGATATAATAAAAGCTAAAAGTCCCTTAGAAAAGAGATAGATTTCAGTTCCAGCAATCTGCTCACAGCAAGCAAGCCATTTAGAATGCTGGCATTTATTATTGTGGCGTGCTCAGCATACAAAGTGTTAGAGACTTGTTTTCATATTATCAGCATAAACTCCAGTCTTTACAGTGATATTGCTCTCAGTCCTGCCAAGAGTTTCTTTGTTGGCACTGGTGATGTTTCATTTCATTTTACTTTATTTTTTTCCTCTTGTGTTTGTTCCTATGAAAAGGGGGAATTATCAAGGGCAGAAAATCTTGGGAAATAACAGAAGTTCTTTTGTTGTGTTTTGTTTTTTACCATTCCTTAGTCTAGGCTTAGAGACACCTTGGACAATAAGAGCTAAAATAGGTGAAGGAAATGAGGAAAGCAAGCAGAGAAGAGAATAAGATAATATACAAAATCCAGGCTATGGTGTCCTAAGCTTTGTTGAGCTGGACAACGGTGTTGTCTCTTAGCTTTGTAACAGTGAGTGAAATGGAGAGAAAGCATCATCCATTTGAATTCAATGGAAGCAAAACCATTACTAGAGAAAACCAGTAGGAATATCTGCATCCCCCCTCCCCATATTCTCCCGATTCTCATGAGAGACATATGAAAAACAGTGTACATCTTCACTGGAATTGTTCCAGCGAACGCAACTATCTCTACGAATGTTTTCTGATGCCATGCATCAGAAACAGCATCAAAGTAAAGTAAAATTTAGCCAAAGCCAATAAATGGGGGATCCAGAAGGATATGATCTGACTTAATCTTTGAACTCATAACTCAGGTGGGGCTGAGGAAGGTGGGGCAGGGAGGTCGGGAAATCTTGAGCAGCTTTTCTCCCAATGATGATTTGGTAGGCGCTACATGGCAGCCACCATGAGAGAATGGAGTTTTGTCCAGTGGTGCAGACTCGTGCATGTGACCACTCAACTAGGCTAGGCTTGATGCTACCATACACAAATGGAGGCATCCCATCCAGAGAGGAGCCAGCACCACCCACACTCCAGGGCAGACAGCACAGTGAGTTGACCCCAGTTAGAATTAGATTCTTCTCCAGTTCTTGAGGTAGGGGAGCCCCATTGGTTCATACATATTATCTGTGAACCCTGGGGAGGAAGAGAAGCACTTCCCATCTCTGCCAGGCACATTCATGGTTGAGGTAGCAGGTAGGATAATGGCACCCTGCAGACAGACCCGCGAGTGTGTTGCCTTACATGGCAAAAGGGATTTCACAGATGCAGTTGGGCTAAGGACCTCGAGATGGAGAAATTCGCTTGGCCTGTGGGTGGACCCAAAGTGATCACTGGGGTCCTTAAAGATGGAAGAGGGAGGCCCAAGAGGCAGAGAAATTTGAAGATGCTCCATTGAAGAGGCTTTGCAGCCACTAGATGCTGGGAGAGACAGGAAGTAGATTCTCCGGTGTAGGAACCCAACTCTGCCTAACACCTTGATTTTTGTCCAGTGGTCTTTAGATGTCTAGCACTGTAATAATAAGTATGTGTTGAGCCACCGAGTTTGTGATCATTGGTGTTACAGCAGCCGTAGTTAACTAATACAGCAATGAGGCCATTTTTCCTGGTCTACCTCCCCCTTTCCTCTTCCCTGTGGTGATCCCATAGAAACTTGAGAAAAGCACAGGAGAGCAAATGACAGAGAAGGGATTTGAACCCTAACCTGCTGGACTCCAAACCTATTCTGTTTCCACTCTACACCCCGCCATGTTGAGAGGACACAGATTCTTCCTTCCTCCAGTTTCCTCATTCATGTAATAAATATTGATTCAACCTCTCCCAGTGGTAAGTATAGACATTTTAAAGAGCCACAGATTATAGCCCTGGTATACATTTGCAAACTGGGTGCTGATGAGATAGTTTAAAAAAAGAAGATTAAGCCTAATTAGGATAAAGCTGCCTAAATTGGGTTTCTAAACCCAATCAGTGCTAATGCCACTAAGTCTTCTGTCTACTGCACACCAAAGGCGGGAACAGGGGATTTGCAGACAGTACCCAGGCTTGACGACCTTAGCTGGGATTTTGAGGAATTTTCCTCTGGCATTAGAACAACTCCATCCAGAACAGATTATGCTGTTGCTGGCATTTCCCAAGTGCCTTCTCGCCTTCTAAAACATGGAAGAACCGGCTTCCCTCTGACGTATCACCACCAGATGGCCTGAGATGGTAATGCCCTTAATTAGATCCAGTTGAAACTTAAAGGGAAAGGAAAGGAAGAAGAAACAGAATGGGACTCAGGTCTGGAAGTTCAACAGTTTTGTTGCCAATCCTATTTAACGGTACTGGGGTTTGAACTCAGCAACTTGCAGTTGCTACACCAGTCCTATACCACTTGAGTCACAGTCTTCAGCTCTGTGCTGGGTTCTTTGGAATCATTATTCATTTAACTTGGATGAAGTCCTCCATGCTGGAGGGTACAGAACAGTAAGGAGGGCATGATGTGAGTACTCGGGGCAGGAGCCCTCAGCTTAGTCCCAGCTCGCTCTTCCTGACTACCATCAGACTCAGTTTCCCACCCAGGTGAAGCTGGCACAAGCACTTGGTACACCTCTGACCATCCCCACTGCGAAGAGTTCCACTGTTTCCATTCTAAGACCACAATGCCAGTTAGTCAGAGGGGAAAATTGGAACCCAACATCCAGGGGTAGTGCTAACTGCCCCTCCACATAGCAGCAGCCTCAGCCATACCTGCCTCTTTCCTAAGTCCCTCCACCTGCCCTGCCACCAAACATTCAGTCCCCCAGGCCCCTGCAATGATAGGAAACAGAACTGCTAAAAATTTAAAGAGAACAAAGTAGCTCCATCATGTCCTTCATAAATAATCAAAAGGATGAGGATTAACTTCCTTGAGGTGAGGCGGGGATTTGGTATGGGTAGAAGCCCCCGCTTCTCTAACTGCTAGCCTAGGAATCAAGCATCTGCTTTCTGAAATGTTAGACATGCTATTGTCAGATATGTCATGATATGGGGTCCTGCCATCCCTCCCCCAATTTCTAGAATCTTCTGATGCCCAAGCCAGATACTGCATTCCTCATACTTCTAGTCTGCTGCCAGGTAAAAGTTTATATCTATAACACTTCTTCTGGGCCCCATCCGTGCCCTGCTAAGCATCCCTTGATCTTTATTTCACTCCTTCACAGTAACTCATGATTGCTTGAAGAAGCTACCTTCATCATAAATATTGTAAAGGTTGAATTTGGCCTTGGAGACAGGATTCATTTACTCAGTATCAGCGGAATAAACATATCAGCTCTTAAGAGGCAAAGAGCTAAAACAAAATTAACCCCAGCCATTTCCATACATTCTCTATGAGGCAGAAAAGATTACCTCCCCATTTTAGCAGAGGAAAAAGACACAGAGAGGTGAGTGACTTGCCACAGGGTACACTATATTAAAAAGAAGAGCTGGCATGGGGCTTTTGTTGAATCAGGACTCTTTGTTTTTTAAGTGCTGAGATGCAGATGGGGTAGTGGGGATACAGTGCTGAGAGAAGATTCTTTCTGCTTTGAGTAAGATGGGTTTTGTTGGCAGGCTTTCTTCTCTAAGAATAACCTGGCGTGAACAAGGGCTGAGAGTTACTTGGGAGAAGGGGAGGATCTTTGGTTGACCAGCTGATTTCCAAG